TCATTTCACACCCAGTGATGTTCAGGAGTCTCTCCTGGTGGCTTGGGGGACCCTGCGTGGTGCTAGGGGGCTGACCCCGAATCAGCCCTCACCACTGGACTGTCACTTTTTTCTTTTTTTGCTTTTTGGGTCACACCCAGCAATGCTCAGGGGTAGATCACTCCTATCTCTATACTCAGGAATCACTCCTGGCTGTGCTAGGGGGACCCTGTGGGGGTGTGTACAAGGCCAGCGCCCTCCCTGCTATCCCTTAACCCCCTGTCAGTCTCCCCACCCATCCTCTGTGCCCCTGAGTCTGTCTGATTCCCACTCCTGGTTGTTTCTGGGGGCAGCAGACCCAGAGCCCACATGCAAACCATCTACTCTGTTCCCCCCACCCAGCCTGTGTGATTGCCTCTGGGTCTATGTCTGTCTGTCTCTTTCTGGGGGAATTAGCACCCAGCCCCTCTCATTCCCACACCCTCACAGGGGACAGGAAGGAACAAAGCAAGCCTCTTGAAGGTCCCAGAGGAGGGGGCTGCAGGCCCCTCCCCCCCCAAAAAAAAAGAAAAAGAAAGAAAAAAGCCCCCTCCACCCCTAATAGTGCAGTGGGGCAGGGCGCTTGCCTGGCATGTGGCCTACCAGGGTTTCATCCCCAGCATCCCATAGGGTCCCCCAAGCCCACCAGGGGTAATTCCAGAGTGCATAGCCAAGAGTAACCCCTGAGTAAGCCGGGTGTGACCCAAAAAGAAAATAAGGGTGTGTGTGTGCAGGAGCTTGGTCCCCCCAGTTGAGCCTTTTGGGGGCACAGGTGCCTGGAGGGCCCTTTGCCCTTCACCCTCCATCCCTGTGAGTCCCCATGTGCACATAGGGGGGTTTCCGAGGCACCCTGCAGGGCCCCGAGGGGAGCAGCTGCCTGGAGTTACAGCTACAGAGACTCACTTGGAACAAGGGACGCGATTGCAGGAGTGAGGGCAGGGAGGGGGCTGGGGCCAAAGAGGAATCAGGCTAGATCAATGGCAGCAACTGCAGGGGTGGGGGGAGCTGGGAACAGGATGCATTTCTGCCAAAAGCCTTTGGGTTCCAAGATTCGTTTCTGAGTCTCTGGAATCATAGCTGTTAAGCAGTTTGATCAGGAACCAGAGAGGCCTGCCTCCATTTATATACCTGAGCCGCAGGTGGTTTGTGGGTGTCTCCCCCACAAACCTAACTTTTGACCACTTACTTTCTTGGTAAACTTGGCCCCAAGTTGTTGGGGTCTGGCCAAAGGCACAGCAGCAATTTTGGGGTATCTGGAAGTCTGAAGGCGCCATCAGGCTGCTGATGCACTCGGCTCTGAGGTACAGATTGACCTGCTGGTGGCACCATACTCCCCACACACTTCCCTCTTATTGTGGTGGGAAGATGCTTGCTGGTTGGGTGGGTGTTTGAATATTATCTGTAAAGAACTATTGTGAACTACTTTATGAAAATAAAATATATAAAAATGGCAAATAAAAGACAATCTGAGATCAATTCCAATACTGAATATCCTACAAAATTCCTGATCAGGACATCACAAGACTAATAGCAGTGGGGGTATGGCTGAAATGGCAGTGCCCACCCGAGCCCAGCATCTGTGAGTCCCTGTTACTGATAAACTCATCTAGGGTGTGACCCTATTTTTTTTTAAAAGAAACTGTCAAGATCATCAAAAACAAGGGTAGTCTGAGAAAGCTGCCACAGTATAAGGCGACATTACCATATGTAATGTGGCATCCTAGCAAGGCTCTTGACACAAATAAGGGATATTAGGCAAGAAATAAGGAAATATAACTAATTAATGGAATTAATAATAATGCACATTACTGGAGCGATGGCACAGCGGTAGGGCGTTTGCCTTACAAGCGGCCAACATGGCCGACCCGAGTTCGATTCCTCTGCCCCTCTCGGAGAGCCCGGCAAGCTACCGAGAGTATCTCGCCCGCACGGCAGAGCCTGGCAAGCTCCCCGTGACGTATTCGATATGCCAAACACAGTAACAACAAGTCTCATGATGGAGACGTTACTGGGCCCACTCGAGCAAATCAATGAACAACGGGAGGACCGACCGATCTTACTGGATGATTAACTATACCAAATGTACCGTTCTAAGATTAGACGTTAATTCAGGGATGGAGTGATAGTACATCAGGTAGGGTCCTTGTCTTACACATAGCTGACCTGGGTTTGATCCCTAATATCCCTTATGGTGTACCCCGAGCACTGTCAGAAGTAATTCCTGAGAGCAGAGCCAGGAGTAACTCCTAATTTCTGGGTGTGGCCCCAAAACCAAAAAATAAAATAAAGATTGTCAATTGTCTATTTTCAAACTTGGTGGCAGTGGGGGAGGAGGGGCGATATCCCACAGTGCTCAGGAATCAGTCCTGGGGAGGCCTGGGTGGGTATCATATGTAGTTTTTGGAATCAAACCCGGGTGCATGGCAAGCACCTTATTCACTATACGATCTCTGTGGCCCCATCATTTTTTAAAAACTAGTTTTTATTTTATTTGAGGGGTGGGGGTTTGGCACCAAAACACATTGTTGCTCGGGGGCTGTTCCTGGCTCTGCTAAGCAGTGACCCCTGGCAGTCATATTGGGGGACCATATAAGATGCTGGGCATCAAGGTGGGGTTCAGAGGCCTGGAGAAACAGTGGATGGGTAGAGCTCTTGCCTTGCACAGGGCTATCTTGGATTTGATTCGTGGCACAACCAGGAGTGATTCCTTACCACAGAGTCAGAAGTAAGCCTTGAGCACGGCCTGTTGTGGCTCCCCAAAACAACCAAATTGAAACAAAAAAACTCGAGTTGACTGCATGCAAAGCAAGTGCCCTACCTTGTGTCCTACCCCTCTGGCCCCAGCCTCTCTATTTTTAAATATATCCAAAACTAGGACCAGGAGGCAGGTCTAATAGTGGAACAGGAGCCTGTCCTATACTAGGCTCTGAATTCAAGCCCAGGGTGCCCACCCTCAACACAGCAGGCACTGTTGGTCCCTAGGAAGATTAATGCAAAGTGTTTTTTAAAAAACAATGCTAAAAATAATCTCGATTAAAAAGATCAGACAGTGCTTGAAAGATAAAGACTAGCATGAAGGTGCCTGCCTTGCACATGGCTGACCCTGGTTAGATAGCTGAGGGGAGGAAGGCAGTCACCTGGCACCTGAGCACTGAGAGGGATCCGCAGGGAGGCCCCAATCCTCAAAATGAAAATATAAAAATATAAAAAAAGGTCTCTTTTATATATTTTTTATATAAAAATATATAAAAAAAATTAAAAAAAATCTAAAACAGCTTAAGAACAACCAGACATTAAGGCCTGCCTTTCTCTTTATAGCTCTTTCCCTACTAGGCAGCACCAACTTCTCAGTTTGATTTGAACTCTTCTGTACTTATAAATGTATATATACTTCGCCTACAGGTTATTCTGGTTTTGGTTTCTGGGGGGGGGTGCCACAAGACGCAACGTTTGGGGGCTTCTCTAGCCCAGTTTACACTTTTAAACGTTTTTACACTATGTAAGTGACTTGTCATACTATGTACATTATACATACATCCTCCTCCTTTGGGTTCACTCTACCGGGCGTTTCATCAACCGTCAATGTAATACGTCTTAACGTCCCAGAATGTTTACTTTTACTGAAGGATGCTTCTAACTTTTTTTTTTCACTACTCAACGCTGTTAATGCTCATCCTGAACTCCAAATTCAAGTCCTGAGACAGGAACCTTGCAGCGGAATACTGCGATTTTGGTACCTTTAAAGTTTCAGTTCTAGATTTCGCCCAGTGGTTTTCCAAAGCAGTTCTAACACGCGCGCACACGCAATCGAGCACGGATGCGTCGACAGGAGGCTGCAATCGCTTGGCTGCTGGGCCCTGGTGCTCACGTGCCCGGTTCTGCACAAAAGCGGCTCCCCCCAGCCCCGCAGGGCGCCCCCGGCAGCCGAAGCCCCGCCCGGGCGGCAGCGCGGACGCCGGTGACGTCACCACGCTCGCGGGCCCTGGCTTCCGGTTCGGCCTCTTCGAAGCCCCCTGACGTGGTTAGTGTGGCTCGACGGCTTCATCTTGGTGTTAAAGGAAAACATCCTCACGGGATTCGCTTGTCCTCAAGGACGGCCCTTATTTCCCCATAATTTCCCCATAAGCGTCGCCTACAGGGCTCGTTTCTTGCCCGCTCCGCCCCGGCCCGCCGCCCCGCCCCTTCCTCCTCCCCTGTCCCCGCCCCACGCCGCCGCCCCGCCCCTTCTTCCACCCCGCCCCAAAGCCCCGCCCCTTTCCTCGCCCCTCCCCTGTCTCCGCCCCCGCGCCGCCGCCCCGCCCCTTCTTCCACCCCGCCCCAAAGCCCCGCCCCTTTCCTCGCCCCTCCCCTGTCTCCGCCCCGCGCCGCCGCCCCGCCCCTTCTTCCACCCCGCCCCAAAGCCCCGCCCCTTTCCTCGCCCCTCCCCTGTCTCCGCCCCGCGCCGCCGCCCCGCCCCTTCTTCCACCGCGCCCCTTCCTCCGGGCCGCGCCAAAGCCCCCCTTCCTCCGCCCCGCCCCCTTCCCCGCCCCTCCCCTATCTCCGCCCCGCGCTGCCGCCCCGCCCCTTCTTCCACCCCGCTCTGCCGCCCCGCCCCTTCTTCCACTCCGCCCCTTCCTCCGGGCCGCGCCAAAGGCCCCCTTCCTCCGCCCCGCCCCTTTCCCCGCCCCTCCCCTTCCTCCGCCCCGCGCTGCCGCCCCCGCCCCTTCTTCTACCCCGCCCCTTCCTCCGGGCCGCGCCAAAGCCCCCCTTCCTCCGCCCCGCCCCCTTCCCCGCCCCTCCCCTGTCTCCGCCCCGCGCTGCCGCCCCGCTCCTTCTTCCACCCCGCTCTGCCGCCCCGCCCCTCCTTCCACCCCGCCCCTTCCTCCGCCCCGCTCTGCCGCCCCGCCCCTTCTACCCCGCCCCTTCCTCCGGGCCGCGCCAAAGGCCCCCTTCCTCCGCCCCGCCCCTTTCCCCGCCCCTCCCCTTCCTCCGGCCCTCGCCGCCGCCCCGCCCTTCTTTCGGCCCGCGGGGTGGTCTGCCGGGTAGTGGTCTCTGCCGTCTGGGCGCCCATCGCTCAGCAGGCGCTGATCCTTCACCCGTGACGCGGCAGCGCTCCCTGGGGGACTCGAGAGGCTGAGTCTCCACTGCCTGGCCCGGGTAGTGCAGTTTTGTCCCTGTAAGTGGGACTGGCGTGCCATGGCCCGGGCCCTGTCCGGTCGGGGAGGAGGGTCAGTGCGGGGGATTCGCTGGTCCTCAGGGACCGTCGGTGCAGTCAGTGGGTCACAGGCCTGCGCTTGTGAAAACAGCTGCTGCCCCCGCGGGGAGGCCGGGTGGGCGAGGCGGAGTGCGGGGCACACCCACCGATCCCGGCTGGGGACGATCTCGGGCCGCGGTGGTCCGGCCCGCCCCCCGCAGCGGGTTGCTGGTGATTTCTATGAAGGTTCAGCATCTTCGTTGCGATCGATCGGCTACTAGATTGCATACTGACACCCTCACCCACATCTTTTGTGTCGGAATCTACGTATTTGCTTTGCCTTTGAAGCCCTGCCCCTGCGAGCGCCCCCCCCCCCCCACACGCGCCTTTTATAAAAAAAATAACTTGGTTTCAATTACCTAGTCGGTGGTAGCAGGAGATATTTTGGTCGAAATTGTTCGATTTTATTGCTACTTTTGTCAGTCTCTTAACTGGGCACACTTCACTGATTTGTAAGAACAGCCCAGGTTGCTGTTGAAGGCACCCACTTAAGGAATCTTGGGATGGAACCCTGGGGTGTCAGATTAGTCAATTTTTTAACTATTAGACTTGCTTCTGTATCTGATAATACATTCTCACTTGGAGAATTGCTTGTGGGGGACGAGTGGGATTTTGGAGTCAGAGAAAAAAAGTATAAAAACAGGATGTTTAGCACTTAATGCGTGCTTGCTGGCCTTTTTAAGAGTGCATTCGCTGGACTAATGGTGTTAGGTTTCTGCGTTATATGGAAAGGATGCTTTGGTGTGGTCCATTTTCTCTAGAATTCTCATGTTAGTTGAGAAGTAATTTGTTAGAATATTCAAATTCAACCTTGCCCTCTATTTCACTCTGTGATATCAATTGTAGCATGACTGACCAGCAGTGATTAAAATCATTGTTTTGGCCTGTTACTGTTAACAACCACTGCTCAGTTGCCAGTGCTTTGTAGATTTGGCCTCAATTAATTGCCCTGTCTTCCAGATGAGGATCGGGGTGTAAATGGACCCAGAACTGGGTCCATGATTTCTTGCTTGTTTTTCCTCTTCTACCCAATATGTGTCCTAGTAAACATGTCAGTGATCAAATGTAAATGAATTGGACATTTTGACTGTTAGTAGATGCTGTGGGCAATGTGCTGTGACCAAAAATTAGGTTGATCAGAAGAGTTACTGGAGGTTTTGTCATACTGTCAGATTGTCTTCTAATTTCCTTCGGTGCCCTTCTAGGTTAACATGTTCTTAGATCTGACGTTGCTAGGGAAACGCAAGTATTCAAAGTTGAAATTTTTGGTAGAGGTACATATACCAAATTTGTCTTTATATCTTTCACATTTTCCAGTAAAGAGCAGAAATGACCAACACAAAAGGAAAGAGGAGGGGCACCCGCTATATGTTCTCTAGACCTTTTAGAAAACATGGTAAGTACATTACTCCTGAGAAAAGTACATATGGCATTTGTGATTTTGCATATGGTTTGTTTTTATTTTTAGGCCTATGTTTTATAAGATGTATTCCAGTTTTATTTTTTAATGCATTATTATGTTTGCGTTTTTTATTACATTGTTGGTGTTTGTGGTCTTGGTGCTATATTAACTAGCATCTCCCTAACTTGTACTAAAAAGCATGACTTACATAGCTGCATTCATTGTGAATCAGCAAAATTGTAAAATACAACTCTGAATTTGTATTAGCTGGCACTATTTATGGTACAGCGGGTGGAGGGGTTGCCTTGCACATGACAAGACTGAGTTTGCCAAGCCTGCCAGAAATGATTCCTGAGCGCAGCCAGGAATAAGCCCTGAGCACCACCACACCACCAGGGAAACCCAAAAGCTGCCTTTTTTTTTTTAAATGCTGAGAGCTGCTCAGTTCATAATTTGGATACTGACTGTGTACTGATGTTTCCCAGGAGTTGTTCCTTTGGCCACGTACATGCGGATATACAAGAAAGGTGATATCGTCGACATAAAGGTAAGTTGGACAAATTGGACATAACTTAGTCAATACTTATCCTTTTAGATGAGAAACTTTTATTAAGTGTAGACTGTTAATATTTTCAGAAATCTGAATTATTTGTGTTTAAGTTTTTCTCATTACTTAGTTGTTGCTAATATCTAGTAGAGTTCATTGAGGTATAATTGAATACCTTGTGTAAAGGGTTACTGGTAAGGATGGCTGTGAAAAAATCTTACTCTCAAGCGAGAAGCTGTGTAAGCCCCTCATGCACGCAGGGATTACACGGGAAAGGATGTTTGCGGGCTCTCCAGGCAGTTCGGTGCTCTCAGCTGCTTATCCACCCCAGGCGACTGTTGCCTTGGATGGACGAAGGAAGAACGAGGGCCAAGCTGGTTGCTGATTAGTTGTCGTTTATTCAATCTCTCGTCTCTCCTAGCTCTCTCCAACCCTCTCTCTTTCTCTCTCTCTCTAACCGCACAATTCTTTCTTCCCGCTGTACCCGTCTCCTCTCTCTCTGCTGTCTCTCAGCTGTCTCCGTAACTGTCTCTCCTTCAATCCATCCCTTTCTCCCCACAGCCACTCTTTTTTATCCTCTCACCATGCCTTCCCAACCATGCCTCCCCACAGGAAGCGTGATCAGAAATGTTTTTCCAGACATTCCACCTGCAACCCACAGCAAAAGAGCCCTTAAGGTGTGTTTCTCCCCTCCTTAGACCTGCAACTTAATCAGCATCTTTAATTCTCCTTCCTAATTCTTCCTAATTCTCCTTCCTTTACCATTCCTTGTGGACACAGTAATAGACACTTTTAGGCTTGTAGGGTGACTCTCCTGGGGCCATCTAACCACAGACTCAGACTACAGTGCTCAGGCCGGATCAATCATTCCTAACTCCAGCAGGGTCCAAATCTAGTTACTACTTTTGGATCATGACAGAATTTGTCCATGACCAAACTCTTTTTTTTTTTTAAGTTTCCTTGAAAATTTTATTATCATTGAATAAAAATAAATTCTTTAACTTTTTCACAGTTTGTAAAAGCTTTTGCTTTTAATTTTTGTTTTGGGCCATAACTGAGGCTTTACTCCTGTCAATGTTCAAGGGTCACTCTTGGTGATTCTGTGGAATGAATTGACAATTAAATACAGTTAATCCTTAATTCCTGTACTAATTCTCTGGCCTGAAGAATTGCTTATTTTAAAGAGCACTTCTTGTTAAAATATTTATTTCAAAAGTCCTCATGTAAGCTATTTGGATGTGAATAAAATTTTATAAACATCTCAGAAAATTATTCCTAGTATCTATCCTTTTATTTGGGATGACAGTAAAATTACTATGACAGTATTTTCTTATTCAAATGAACTGATTTCAAGGTAAATGGTTATTATAATATCTTGATTTTAAAATTTTATTCTGGTAAGACAGAAAATGACTTTATAATTATTTTTCAATTTCAATGAACTATTATAGAATAAAAATATTTGATACTAAGTTTTCTTATGCTTGAATACTGAAAATAATCATTATTAGCCCAAATAAACTGGTACCGTCAATATTTTAAAAAATTAATGATATTTACATAATAAATGTTAATCACTAAGTTCTTCCTCATTACTGAATACGTGCTTTTCTTTATTCTTGGGCGTCTTGAATCATCTGGTGTTGAGGGACCTCCTGAGTTGGGTTTCCATTTATTTTGTTGTTCTTCAATTTTGGCTTCCTGGAAAGCAGTGGCCTGACTAAGACTATCAAGAGAAGAATCTTCACCTTCATCTTCACTCTCTTCTACTTCTTCAATTTCTTCTTCTGGTTCAGGAATTTTTTTTTTCTTTGGAGGTTCACGTTCTCCAAGCATATTTCTGGGACAGGCATAACTCAAGTGCTCACTTTCCCCACATTCATAACACTTAGATTTATCAAAGTAGTTTCGTCTTCGGATAAACTCATCTGCTCTTCCATTGTCAATAGCAATACTTGCTTTTATTACTCTACCAAATAACTGTTTGTTATTTATTGGCCTGGTACAATTCTGTGCAGAGTCTTTATCCAAAAACAAAATAAATGCTACCCCTTTACTCTTCCTGGTATCTTTATCTTTCATTCTAGTAACCTTTACAACTTTGCCATACTTGGAGAATATCCAGTATAAGTCATTGTTGGTCAGGGAAAAAGGCAAGTTGGATACATACACAGTGCTCTTACTTGAGGCCGATCACCACTCATTTCTTCGGGCGGGCCGACCCGGGGCCCCGATGGGCGCGAGCTCTCAGTTCCTGTGGGGCCCTCCCCTTTTAATCTCGCTGGCGACCCAGGGCCGTGGCAGTGGCGGCGGCGTCTCTCCCATGACCAAACTCTTAATTTATAGTTAGGACACTTTGGCCAGGCCCATTTCAATGCCAGGGTAGCTTATAGCTCACCGCTTGCCCTGGGTCCTCGTCAGGACCCTGCTTTGGGGGATCTAGGAAGTAAGGGCAACTGAGGCTTAAGTCGAGCGAGCAGATGTCTGGGAGTCAATTATCTGGAGTCAGTCAACTCCCAAGCCACAAGCTTGTCTTTTTAACTATCTTCCTGTATCCATGCAAAAAGCAACTGCTCTGAAATAACTAAGCATGCAAAGGACATTAAGGAGAAGAGAAAGACAATATTTACAAGTCAGAGTCTGATCAGGAGACAAAGATAATTGACAGGCTAGGGGGCAATCAACAAACACAAGCTCCTAGTGGCCAGGGAGGAAGGGCTAACCAATGTTATGCTACAGAGGGCTATTAAAAATAGTTAAAACTTTGTGACTAATTTTTAAACACATTATGGTGCTGTAGAGTTTAATGATGGTTGTCTCTTTGATTGCTTTTTGAAACAATATATGAAAAAGCACACTTCACCGACTCTGAAAGCTCTTGAGTTGCCATTAAAAAGAAAAAGTTCCTTGAATAGCCTTGATAAGAAAGGGAAATAGATGGCATGACGTTTGCCTCCTTTGTTTATAGGGAATGGGCACTGTCCAAAAAGGAATGCCCCACAAATGTTACCATGGCAAAACTGGAAGGGTCTACAATGTTACCCAGCATGCTGTTGGCATTGTCGTTAACAAACAGGTCAAGTAAGTAATGTGGATTGGGAGGGCTAACTAGTATTCCCTTATGCCCCCTTCTCACTTTGCCAATTGGACTTATGTCTTAATTGGTCATTCAAGTGGGGCAAAGGAAGCGTCCCTTTAAAGCTCAAGCAAACTGGGTGTTTGTCTTGTATCCAGTCAGAGGAAACAACTTGAAGGATCAAAGTCGTGGAACGTCATGGGATTGATTTAAGGTGGTTCTGTTGCCAGAGTAAAAGGTTTAGTGAGTTAATACAGCAACCTGGTTTTAGTTTCAAGGTCCGTTATCATAAGAAAGAGCTTAAAAGTGGGGCTGTTTGTCCAAACACTAATTCTCGCAGTAAGATTGATCATGATTGCAAATTTGCCATCACTTTATTCTGTTTTATGGATAAAAAATTTGTGATTAATTGTGAAACTGCCAAAAAAGTTTTCTGAATTTTGCTGGCCTAAGATAGAAACCAGTCCACAAGTGTAGAAATGTTGCAGAATGCTATGCTAAATTCAGTTAAATCTTAAGTCCAGTTAAACCTTAAATCCAGTTAATCTGCCCCATCCCCATGCAAAACAAAATCACATTTTTTTTTTTACACTGGAGGTTTTACCTGCAGATTTGTTCCTTCTGAGTTATGTTTTTGGTGAGGCATTTATAAGAGTTCATCTTCTTTCCAGGGGCAAGATTCTTGCCAAGAGAATTAATGTTCGTATTGAGCATATTAAGCACTCTAAGAGTCGAGACAGCTTCTTGAAACGGGTAAAGGAAAATGATCAGAAAAAGAAGGAAGCCAAAGAGAAAGGGACTTGGGTTCAACTGAAGCGCCAGGTGAGTACTTTGAATCTGATCTATACTAATGTAATTTTCTTTCGTCATTTCACTGGTTCTTAGAGTACTGTGTGGTTTAAATTAGTGTTTTACAGTCACCTTTTTTCCCCTCTTCTAGCCTGCTCCACCCAGAGAAGCACACTTCGTAAGAACTAATGGAAAGGAGCCCGAGCTGCTGGAGCCCATTCCCTATGAATTTATGGCATGAGAGGTGTTTGTTTAAAAATAAAGAGACTCCTGGACTATAGAAAATGGTTCTTTTCAGTGTCATGTCGTTCGACCTCCCCCACCCCCCCCACCAATCCCCCAAATTATTTAAAGCAAACTTTGAGTCGTGTCTAATTAATTGGGTCTTTTGTCTTTACTATTTAAATTTAATCTTGCGAAAAAATGTGGAAAGGTTTATTGGGCAACCAAATATGCTCTAAAGCTGCTCTGGAAATAAGATAACACTAAGTAAAATCTAATTTAACTTCTTGCTTATCCTCAGGAAGTATGGTTACTCCCAATTGTGTCTCAAATTGCTGTTTCAGGATCAGGAACGTGACTTTGAAATGAATTACTTAACTCCTTTGTGAGTTACTTTAACTTTTTGAGGAATCTTGACTCAGAAAATAATAGGTTTGGGGGGTTGGGGGCAGGCTGGCAGTGATGCTCAAAGGCTACCAAGAGTCACTTCTGGTGGTACTGGACGCTGTATAAGTGGTCATGCAAGACAAAGCACTTTATACTCTTTGAGGCCTTAATACACCTTTTTGTTTTGATCGAGAGTAAAAGTATCAGTTAATACTAATGGTTCTGTGATATCATTGAGCACTTTACATGACCTAGATATTAAAAACTTGGAATCAAATGCTCCTGTCCATTTCACATAAAAGAAAGTGCAAGACAGTTAACTTGCCCAGAGTTAGAAATGATCTATATTAGTGTCTTTTTAGCTGGCCTAGCCCCACTTAATACCGAAGGAGCATTTTAAATCTGTATAAGAGAGTTAGCAGTTAGGTTGTTGCTTCCAGTTTGATTTTACAGATATGGCAAGCACTTTGTGCATATAACCAAAGGGGAAGTGATTGTTTACATCTTTAGCTGCCTTTAATATTTTGTTGTAGTAATGGCTGACTGGTCTGGGTTCTATTCCTCCGCCACTCTTGGAGAGCCCAGCAAGCTACCGAGAGTATCTCGCCCGCATGGCAAAGCCTGGCAAGCTACCTGTGACGTATTCGATATGCCAAACACAGTAACAACAAGTCTCACAATGGAGATGTTACTGGGCACACTCGAGCAAATCAATGAACAACAGGAGAACAGTGCTACAGTAATGGCATCTGTTTATTTGGAAGGGAAACTCTTACGTACTAGTACTGGGAACACAACTGGAATTCACTTGGAATCAGAGAGAAATTACTTCTGGTCTTGGTTGGTGAAATAAAATCCATGTTTTCATGACTAGCCTTTGCCTCTCTGAACTGTATTTTTAATGTAAGAATTTCCTCCACCAGACCCGAAGTTAGAGACATTGAACTTCTAATTCCTCTTGCCTGACAGTGAATGTTCTATGCACTGTCTTGATAGGCGGGGAATAAATCACTTGTTTGTGGGCCACATGGCAGTGCCTGAATATTGGGCTTGTTAGGGTCCTCCACACAAGTGACTTGGAAGTTACATTCTTTCACTGTAATATAAATTTCCCTTTCTGTTGATTCCTTGAAGTGAGGGTATTATCTGCATGCATGCTCAGGTTAGAACTCTGTTCTAGTTCTTTAGCAATCTAATAGGCTCGAACCTTTGTCGACCAGGTTGGCCGCATGCAAGCCAAACGTCCTGTCCGCCATAGCACAGTGGTGGCACAGCAGCAGCGCTGTGCTATAGCAGGTAGGGCGTTTGCCTTGCTCGCAGCCAACACGGCCGACCCGAGTTCGATTCCTCCGCCCCTCTCGGAGAGCCTGGCAAGCTACAGAGAGTCTCTCGCCCGCACGGCAGAGCCTGGCAAGCTCCCCGTGATGTGTTCGATATGCCAAACACAGTAACAAGTCTCACAATGAAGACGTTACTGGGCCTGCTCGAGCAAATCAATGAACAATGGGGAGGACAGTGACAGTGACAATATGCTCAAGATTCTAGGGCCAGAGTGATAGTACAGAAGGTAGGGTGTTTACCTTGTATCAGCCAACCCAGGTTCAATCCCCAGCATCCCATATGGTTCCCTGAGTACCACCAGGAGTAATTCCTGAGTGCAGAACCAGGAGTAAACCCTTGAGCAATGCTGGGTGTGACTTCCCCCCTTCCATCCCTCCCACCCCGTGTGTTTGTGTGTGTGTGTGTGCGTGCGTGTGTGTGTTTGCGTGTGTGTTTGCTCAAAGCTCAAGATTCATAGCTAACTCCCTGAGACTACTGATTTCGTTGTGTGTTCCTGTAAATATTTGACAAATTAGCTGGTCCCCAGTCTGATGTCTGTTGGTTTCTGTCACCTGGGAACTGAAGTAGCCAGAGTATTGTGTGGGATTTTTTTTTTTTTTTTTGGTGCTTTGGGTCACACTCAGCCATACCGAGGGCTTACTCCAGACTCTTGCTCAGGGTTAACTTCTGATGGTGCTCATATGAGGTGCCAAGAACTAAATATGGTTGAACTTTGTGCAAGGTCAGTGTGCTATCTCTTGGCCCACCGCCTTCATCATTGGACTCTTAGCCTTCCCTGCTGTATTGGTCATTTAAGGAACAAATTAGCTGACAGGGCCCTCACGAAGCTCACTAGAACTGTTATCTCAAAAGTAGCTCTGAGGAAACCATGTAGTAGATCTCCATTTTCACATCGGTTTGTGTTCTAAATCACTTACTGTAACTCTGTAAGTCTCTGCCCTGTCCAGTGGCCGTGAGGCTAGACCCTGGGACTTATGCTCCCCATCTGCTCACAGGGATGGTTCAGGTAAGACAGATGGGCAAGTAACGTGCATCAGAGACACAGGCTGAGTCACAGGAGAAAGAGAAAACGGTCCCCAGTCAGCAGAGTCGGCTTCTGAGAAGACAGCAGCATAGTCCCACCAGCTGGGGCCTCGGGTCCATCAAGGCCAGGAGGGATTTGAAATTCATGACGATTCAGACTCTGCCATCCTGGAAGCAATTCCACCTGCCATTCACTCCATCATCAAATGGAATATCTCCCAAGGCATCATGTTGGCACGAGAGAAGAAACTTCCAAACGGATCCCAGGGAGCCCATAAGGGCAGACACATCATAGATTTCACTGAGTGGCTGTGACTGGGATATGACCAAGAGTCACGGGGCTGGGGCAGGTTTTTCTGGAAAACCTTTCATCTCCCTTTGCATCCCCATCCCAAAGCTTGCTGGTTTGTTTGTTTGTTTGTTTGTTTGTTTGTTTCCCTATTTTTTAGGATTCCTTTTCTTTTTGTCTGTGTGGGTGTCTAGCTCTCTCAGGGATGCCTTAGATGAGGGATAATGTATTTAGTGCCATGGCTTGTAAGTCACATGGAAACAAAGGCAGAGTCCAGAACCACAAACAGAAGAAACTAGCCCTGATCCTCTGGGGAGCTTGGGGCAGAGAATTGCCCGTGACTGCGGCTGGGGCCGCAGGCCCCGTCTGATGCTCACCCTGACCCGAGGTTTGGTCCGTGTGTGCAGGATTCACAAGCACACGCGTGGGAGCTCGTCCATGCAGAGGCTGGGGCATGTCCCTCTGCAGCAGGCACCATCTCCGCATACGCCCCGCCTCCCACCCTTCCTCTCTCCTCCAGGCCACCCGCTGCCACCCTGGACTCCCTTCTCACCTCAGGCCTGCGCTCAAAGGCCCTCTCCCAGACAAGTGCCCCCCGAATGCTGCTTGCTCCCAGGTCATCCTTAGGGACCCAGCTCCCGAGAGCCCAGGACCCTTTTTCTCCCTCCAACCCCAAGGATCACAGACCCCCTGTGTGCCCTCATTTTCGTTCTGGTAGCACAGCTAGCCTTCACCTGTGCTGGCTTCAGGAATGTATCTGACCTCTCATTTGCGCCCTGATGGCAGGACCCCTGGGTGAATTTTAGTAACATCAGTGACACCAATGCCCAGAACACAGTCACGGAATGCACTCAGCGGTGGACTCAAACCCCCTTCACTTTACCCCAGCTGGGCTGCAGAGATGCCCTCGTTCCTGAAGCTGAAACAGCCATAGTGACCTCTGCCACACGTTTCCCGCCTCAGTTTCCACAGAATCTCAGGCATGTCCTGCCCCCTGATGACAAGTGTGCAAGTCCTCCAGGCTAGAACCCAAGTCATCCTGACAAAGGAGTGCTTGACATTCCAGGCTGTCCCAGGAAGTGGAACCAGGGCCCTCCTCAGAGCAGGCCTCTCCCTCCGACCTCTTCTCCTCTGTGACCAGCTCCAGGGCCTTGAACCAGGTGAGAAACTGCTCGTGGGGCTGCAGGCGGTAGTTCTCCGTGGCCTCCTGGAGCAAAGCACTCTCCTGCAGGATCTTCTTTTCCTGGGACATGGAGAAGGAAGGAAGGGAAAGGCCTGAGTGGGATGCGGCGCTGTCCAGGGCTGCCCAAAGCCAGACTAGAAGGAAATTTCCACAGGGATCCCCCTTCACTCTGCCCATCAGCATCTCCACTTTCCTGAGGTCAGATAACCCCCTCCACCAGGAAGTTCTCCTTGAGGGATGCTGCCACCCACCCACACATGTGTCTTCCATTGTTTCATTCTCCTACTACTAGGAGTGTCAGGCTGGAGGGACAGAGACAAGGAGGATCTGACAGGGCACCATGGGACAGGAAGTCGGGTCCACTCCTCTGTTTCCCTGGATTCCCAGGTGCTCACCTTTGCGAATTCCTCCTCATTGACCTCCTCCCCTTGGAAGCAATCAGCCAATGCATGAGAAAGGGCCCCAGGGGACACTGCCAGGCCTTTCACCTTTTCCATTTTCTGCCTTTTCATTCACCATCACACTTAAAATGGATGAGTGGGATGCAGAGATAGTCCAATGTTTAAGGCACTTGCCTTGCACTTGACCAACCTCAGTTTGATACCTGGCACCACATAGGGTCCCCCATGCACTGCAAGGAGTGATTTCTGAGCACAGAGCCCAGAGAAAGCCCTGCGGATTGCAGGGTGTGGCCTACAAACCAAAAAAGTAAAAATAAAAATGAACATGCCCACCTGATTTTCATTTATTTAAGAGAATAAAACGACTAATGTATCAACACTCATAGTCTGTTATGCCCCATATAGGATGGAATTATTTCTCCTATCTATCTCC